GTCTTGTAATGGCACATTTCCCGTGATTAACCTCGTGGCTTTTATCCTAGTAATGTACACCTCAGATATTTTTTATGAAGTCATATTTATTATGTACTTGATTTCATGAATTTTGTAAGTCAGTTTAGTTGAAGATGAACCCCAAAGATCTGAAAAATACTATTTAATTGAATTATTGAATTAGAAGGACAATTAAATCATGCCTTTTTGTAGTTGTTACAGATGTTACAGATATTTGTTGTAAGACAACAAAATATAATTAACTTCCAGCTAATAAAGTTACCTGAGGAGTGTAATGCTAGTTTATTTTTGAGTATATCTTACAATATATTTTAGATATATTGTTTTCAAGGACCCTAAGGTATGTTCTTAACTCTGCATAGCATGTATACAGAGCAGTTGTGCAGGAAGGATTTTTGGTATTGAATAGCTAAATACTAGCCTGGAATGATGGAATGTGTGACATTGTGTGTCTGTGCGTGTGTGCACATAACGTGTGTTTGACACAGAAATCAATGGCAGAAAAATCTCCAGATGTTCACCAATTACCTGTTTTATCTTGTACTTAAAAGCAAAAAATCAAACACCTTTTTCTCATTTAATTATGATGATGTAACTGGGCGGTCCTTTTTAAACAAGTAATTTGCATAACAGAGGGTATTTGTTTTTAAAGCTTTTGTAAATAAAGGCCTAAGAAATGTTTTCTTACATAACAACAGACTGGTGGTTTTGTTGCAAAATTTTTCCTGGAATGCGATTATTTAGTCAGTTCAGCTCTGTTTTGTTAGGCATGATAGTTCTTTTCTACGTACTGATATAGAGTGACCTAAGTTGCTACTCACTGACTGATTTTACATTCAGAGCAGAATTGTGTTCATGGGTTTCCAGTCATTTAATTCCTACTGTCCTGAGTTGGAAGAGGGATGATTGCAATTTACTTCTGAGGCATCCTAATCCCATTAGTACTTTCATACCATTATGTATTAGACGATGGTGACTTGTTTTAATTGCCTTTGGCTTTAAGATCGTGATAGTGAAAGCAGGATGAATTTTTACTGTGGCCTCCAGGGTTTGCATAGACATGGAATGAAGAACCCCTGAAGTTTGATGCATTTGCTTTAAGGTAGTAGCTTTGCCTAAAGCATACAGATACAACTATCTGGTTAACTTGAGCAGAATGACTCTTCGAAGGACTTTAATGGGTTTTTGTTTTGAAGTAGGTTTTTAATCGACGATCAAAGGAAGTTTTTAGAGTCTTCTGAACGTGTGCCTATAGTAAAAGTTCTAGTGCCGATGGGGATTTGTTTTTGAAGTGACTGCTGAGCATCCCACATGCTGTGCTGTGCTTTTCTTTGCTTCCTGTCATAGAATCATGGAATGGTTTGGTTGAAAGGAACCTTAAAGATAATCTAGTTCCAACCCTCCTGCCATGGAGAGGGACACCTTCTGCTAGACCAGTATTTGACTTCAAAGAATTCTACTCTTCAGTTTTCTTCCAGTTACAAAAGCATTTCTCAAAAGTCACTGGCCAGCATGAAAAGAGATTATGCTTTAGTCTGTGAGAGAATACTTAGTTGAGAGTTGATTGCAGCTGGGGAGACATCTGTGCATCATCCATTTCCTTGGCAAAATTAGATTTAGTTTCCATTAAGGAGTAATTTAACTTGTGAATTGTAGAGATTATGAAAAAAGCAATTTCTTACATGTAGGACCATTATGTGTAAACTTCAGAGCCTGAAATCTGTCTCCAAAGTGGCCAGCTTTAATTGCTTTTGCTAAAATTAATGTGATGTGCAGGCATAGTTCCAGCTGTCTAGACATGCACCTTTTTGTTCAGAGACAAAAATCCTCTTTCTAGGCCTCTGCTTTTCCCAATCAATTTAAAATACACTGTTGTTGAGTAGGTTTGTCAGGAGAAATGCAGTATCACAACCTGTTATATTTGATCTTTCTATTTTTAATCCTCTTTTATTTTTGGCTTCTGGAGTCAGATGAGTGTTCCAGGAACCTTATGTTCTCTGTCACTATTTTTTTTTTAATATATATATATAAAATTTATTTTTAACATTTAGTTCCTTTGCTCATTAAAACTAGGCGAGAAGCATCATTGAAGTAGAGGAATAGAGATCTGGAACACATTCAGAGTATTTAAGGCTTTTTCCCACATGAATTTGCTGATGACCTATAAACTCTGACATCCAAGAAATTTCTGTTACCTTATCTGACTGGTTACTCCATACTCTGAAAATACTGGAAAAATAGCAGGAAGCCTGCATTCATGAGCAAGGTGCTTCTGATTCAACTCAAAAACATGCAAAGGTGGAAGCAGAATATTGTTGTCTGGAATAAGGAAGATTTATCCTTGGTGGAGGAATATCAGATTAGGAATGTAAAAACAAACTGGACATAAAGAAGTTCTGTTTTAAATTCCTAAGTGATTTTTCAACCTTGAATTAACTAATAACTCACTTAAACAATATGCACTGGAAGAAAACGCTCCACTCCAATCCTGAAGCAGTTTTTAGAACTCCACTGGAAGTTTAATAATCACATGTCAATGGATTTAGGGTGGAGTGGGTTCATTGCAGTTTATTAACCTGTAAAATAATTAAGTGAAATTTCAAATAAAACAGACTTCTCAAGATGTTTATTTTACTCCACCATGTCAGTTATGGCAGAGAAAGCTAAAAGTCTCCAGTAGAATTGTGGGTATTTGCCTAACTACTTTAAATTGTTGACTTTGAACAAAATCTCACAAAGACTAAATCCCAATTTTTACATAGAGTAAAATCAGTTATGTATGTGTACTTTTCTATTCTTACCATGAAGTTATTTTCTTGGTATTTCTTATGTTTAGTGAAAATAAAGTAAAATAAAACAATCTGCCATGAACCTTGACTGCTTCATGGCAGATTGTTTTATTTCCCTCTTCCATGAGGGTACTTATTTGGTGTTTGTCTCCCTCTTGCACACAAGTAGTGAAATGAGGATCCTGCATTATTTTAGCAGTCTTGGGTTGGGAATAAATCTGCACATTCATGCCAACTGTGATTTCTGCAGAGGCTGGTGTTGTTCTTTTGTCAGCACAGATGATATACTATTTCCTGCCTCTGTTGGACAATTGTCTTGCCCAAGAGTGCTCTTTCACATGAGAAAGACACTTGCCTCAGTTAACTGTGTTGGATGTGAGGAATAGCTGGAGAAAGGGGAAGGGAAGTCTTCTGCCTTCTCTCTGTACCAGGTGGTAAAGAGAGAAGGCAAAAGGTTGGCAGCAGATGAACTTTTTAAACTGCATTATAAAAAATGTGCTTTCTTTTTTGTAGGACAGTGAAGCAGAGCTGAGGTGGCATTGGCAATTCCCTTTCTATACTTCCCATCATATAATAAATGAGCGTGGCAAGCTCTGTTTCCTTCATTCTTGTCCCTCTGCATGCTCTGGGGAGTAGTTGTAGTATCTATGATAGTGTTTTACATGAAGCTGCTGATTTTTACTATTATATCTATTTGAAATACTGGCCCGTTAAATCTCTTGATGTGATGGAGAAAATAACTGGAAACAACTTCCTGTTGTTCAGGCTGTGTGTATGTTGTCTATTTTTGCCTTTATAACAGGAGCTCTTTCTGAAGTGAACTAAGAAATAATCTATTTTCAGATCTAAAAAAAAAAAAAGGAAAGTGACTTCATGAAGTGATGACTGTCAGGAAGTGTTGGGTCTGTTCCAGTTATGCCAATCAGTTAAACTGGGAGCATGCAGAGGGGGAGAGGGGAGATGGCTCATGGCACATCTTCCAACTGCTGCACTCAAACTATTGGGACCATCTGCTTGAGATTACAGTGATGTGGGATGTGATCAAACGCCTCAAATAATGGATTTTGGAGTTACTGAGTTACTGTATTTCAGTGATAAGTGACAACTTGGAGAAATGATGGAATTATCTATTTACAATCAACTTTGGGAGGGAGAATAATAAAGAAGCTAAGTAGCGATTGTACATTTCTTATTTAACACTTTCAATGTGGACTGCTACGAAAGAGAAGAGAGAAAGAAAGATGATACAAAATTTAAAGAAGGAACAATTGAAAAACTGCTGAGGGAACATGGCAAGGTTATGTCAGGTGTCACTTACTCAAAGCTTCATCCCAGAAGGCTGTTGCTTTTGCCATCCTACTACACAGTCACTGATACGCAGGTGATAGATGCGAGAGAAGTAGCCATAGAGACATCCCACCATCCCCACTGCATAGCAGCACATTCTTTTTTTTTTTTAATCGTGTTTTGGATGAGAATGTTTGTGTATGGTTCAATACCAGTATTTTTGGAAGGGTTTTAAAAACAGGATGAGCTTGGGCCATATACTGCACATTATGTCTGAACTGGTAGAGGTAAAAGCTACTTTCATCTTTACGTAACTGTTCCAGCAATTTTAGAGGTCCCTGAGCCAACAGTCTCACTCCTCTCTGCACAGGAGGTGGATCCAGCACTTTCCTAAGAAAGACTGTTAGAAAAGGGAAAAGTCAGGCAGCTCTGAAGAATCTAGCCTGGTAGGGAGTGGAGAACCCTCATGAAGCAAAGCTGCTGTGGGTGATAATCCTGGTTAGTAGTCATCATTCTTGTACCTTCTCACTTCTATAAAGTGTAGGGGGTTTAAGACACCCCCACCTCCCCCCCTTTTCTGGGGGCCAAAATTCCACCTTTTGAGCAGGTCAAAGGAGGGCAGGTCTGTGCTCTGACAGCATAAAGGCACAGAGTGTATCACCCCTGAGAGATTATAAAAGAATTGGTTCCTTCTCAACCTCTTCCAGTGTCAGTGCATTGTGAAGTGAACCTTGGAGAAGGGAAACACACCTATAAAAATCCAAGACTCCTGGTGAAGGGGTGAGGGGGGACATTTACAGCAACTATGTTATTAGTGAAGCCCTAGTAGAGATGATGGTCTGCTGTTCAGGTACACTTTTCAGTAAAACTGATAGTAGTGTGTCAATGACTGCTACATACATGGCATGCTGAACATGAAGCATTTATTTATGTAAGCAATACATTAACATATGGCAAAGTTATACACTAAATTTATGTAGAAATATATTTTCCCCCACCCCTTCACAAACCAGTCAACCAAACCAGGGGAAGAACTATCAGTTAATTAAAAAATTAATTGAAGAAAACAGTTAGGAAGTGTTTCAGTAATTTTCTTTTGTGCACTCTTCAAATGGTAAGGAATAATTTAATAAAATAATAAATACACAGAATATTAACATACTTTTCCTTACATATTTAGCTGTTTCTTTTAAGGGAAAATAGGTTTCAGTCCAAATAATGATGAAAAACAGCTACAGCATTCCACACACTGAAACAAACTTGTTTCCTTTCTGGAGTGTCCCTCACAAGAGATACTCAAGAACCATCTGTATTTCATGCTGTGCAGTGTGCTCTAGGATGATCCTGCTTGAGCAGGGGCCAGATAACCCCAGTGGTGGTCCCTTCCAACCTTTGCCACTCTGATTCTGTGTTTCATTCATTACTTGCCCAGTCTACTAAAGAGCTTTCAGTCTGTAACCTAAACTGGACAGTGTTTTTTCTCTCCAGTTAAAGAATTAAAGTGCATAACAGCAGCTCTATCTTAACTGCTCACAAAGATTGTGTTCCATTTTCTTAACAAAAATAGTTCTCTGTGAAGACTTTGAGTACTCCATCACCCGTACATCTACTGATACAGAGTATGTGTGGACTACTTCTGGTGCAGATGTTTTGGATTTGTTCTAACCTAAAAAGAAAAGACATTTTTTACACATGTAGGGAGCTATGGTTCATATGACTGTTTACATATATACAAAATAAATTTAACTCTGCTGTAATTTGGGACTCAGGCCCATCTGAGGAGCCTGCAGAACTCATCCAGTTTCCACTAAAGCTTGAAATAGAGTCATAGACAAATATCAGGGATATTATTTTCTTTTTAGCAAAAAAGTAGATTAGTAACTGTACAGTAGGTAAAAAGTACTCCTTAAAAAAAATACAGAAATTACACAAAAGCCTGTAGTAAAGTGCCTAGCAAGGATGTAAAGGACAGGAGAATCAGTGTATGCAGACAAACAACATTGCATCCTTGCTACCCTGACTTCTTCACAAATTCTCCTGCATGCATTTTAACACTGACAATGGTCAGTATGTCAAAAAGAGAATTTTCACTTTGTTATAGAAAGTATTAGAGAGTTTAAAGACAAGAATAGTCATATCGTCAGAAATTATACTTTGGAGCATGATTAACTCAATTTTCTCCATACTCTACACAGTGAAAACTGCCAGGAACCCTCAAAGCCTGCTGACAGTGCTCTTCATGGAGACACAGCTCATGCCCATCTAGAGAGCAGATGTAGCTACAGCCCCCTGGCTCAGATCTGCTCAGTGTTTACCTCCAAACTACCACCCTTTCTTTTTCTCCTCCTTTCATCAGTGTCTGTTCCCTATGCCTCCATCAGTTTTCTGAGAGGGAGACAGCCTCATATTATTTAGGGCCATTGTGCTTCCCAAGTGTGACTTTGGAGACATGGAGAAGCCAGGCATTTCTTGATCCCTTATCCCTGTCCTTTCTCTGCATTGATCCCCAGCCTTACTGAGAGATCCCAGAGCCCTGGCCACAGAGAGTATGACATCTGTATTAGAGAGCTCCATTTCCATGATGTGTTTTGCTGGGGAGGAAATCTTTTGTCTTTACATGAAAATATAGTGCAAGAAACACTGAAGCTGAATTTCAACTTTCTACTCAGTATTTTTAAATGCATGCTCCATGACAAACCACCCTGTGACTAACTGCATAAAAAACAAGACTCTACAGATAGAGAACCTGAAGTGTTAAAAAATATATTTTCCCTCTCCCCCTTATCCCTTGACAAGTTCGCCTTTAAACAAACACGAATATGAGGTAAGCTGACAGAACAACACTGAATAAAGAGCTGCAAAAAATCTTTTGGTAACTTGATCTCTGCAGGCATAATGTAAACTGTATGCTACCTTCATGCTAGTTAGAAAAGGTGTTCTACATCAAGGGATCCACACTCTGGCACTTCTGGCATTAAACAGATGTTTTCAGGCTGGTAAAAATTTTACATTTAAAAGAAAAAAAGTAAAATAAATACATTTTCCCTCACTAGAGGAGAAAAAAAAAGCCACATTTTGCTACACCAGCTATCACTTAAGTTGCAAACCCAAGAAAAACAAATTTTGAAGTTATGTGCTGGTAGAAGAGTTAATTATAGTATCTTCTGCTTTCAGAATTATATCACTTAGTCCTGCTGCCAGTTTCCTAAACAAGTATCTGGCATCTTTACACTGTGAACCAACCTACTAAGTAACTCAGGTTTGCCAATAGAAGCACTTTTCTATTTCAACTGAACTCAGTGTAGTCTGAGAGGCTTTCACCTTTCTTTTTTGACTTGTCTTTTTATCTAGCCCCCTAGAAAGCATAACTAAGTTCCTCCTAAAATTGTTTTCAGAATAGAAATTTGCATTTAAATGTAAACACTGATACCATAAATGTAGTGTATACAAAAGGCACAAGACAATTAGAGTTGTGTTGCTGAAACTTCCTTGACTTTGAAAGCCAAAAATGCCTCTTTCATTCTGGTCAGTAAACTGATCCTAAGAAAGCTGCTAGCTCCTAACTTAATTGAAGGGATCTTCTATGTGCAGCAGCTTGGCTTTTTGGTATTGCAATCAAAAGTCCATTGTCCTGTAAATGCAAATATCACAAGTTGTAACAGTAAGTCATCTTGACTGCACGTGGTATTCATTAAGTTATGCAGTAGGAAAGGCAGTATCTTGAAGAAAAAGTGAAAAAAGAAATCTGAGAGATTTCTTAATTAATAGGAAATTAATAGGAAATGGATTAATAGGAAATTAGGAGCTTGAAAGACAGTGGCCCTCAGTAACTAACACAGGTTGGTCAAAAGCCTTTTGGATTGAAATTCAGGGCCAACATTTGCTTCAAAAAGGGGTAAGAGCTCCAAATGGGACAGTAAAACCCTATTTCATCAGACTATTCCGTGAAGCTTCCATCAAAATCCCCAGCTGGCTGGTTTCATTTATATAATACCCACCTGAACACAGGCTTTTCATCACATCACTGAGCAGTGGCCCACTGTAGCATTCAATTAACCAAAGGATTTTTTTCCTTCTCAACAACTTTTCAAACTATCTCTAATGCAGACCTTTGGAAAAACAGAGCTTTTAGAAGAATTTTTTCCAAAAAATGTTCCAAAACCAGTCAGATACTTCACTTAGGTCTTCTTACCTTCAAAAATTGCTTATCAAGGGCTCAAAAGAAAATAGTCCACCAAGCCACTAAACTATTCCTAATCAACACTGGCTGTTCTCCCAATTCATAAAGCCAGTAGTGCAAACATTTGATTTTAAAGTCAACTACTTAAACAATTTGAATTAAAAGATGAATTTTCAAAACCAAGTCAAGAACATGAACTGATAGGATGTGAAGGAGGTCACATTTTTCTTGTGCTGAATATCAAAGTAAAACCAGCCATTGAATTTTTACAATTGTAAACGCAGACTCTTCTTTTTTTCCTCTTTCTAGTACTCAATTATCCTTCACCATTTAAACCCAGTAATTTTAAGTTGGAACATCCTTTATATGGTTCAGAAATAGTATGTTTAGTTTCGTATTTCAAGCAGTGACATGGAGACAGCTAATCATCTGTCAGTTTGTTTTCTGAGCACATCCATAGAGGAGCAGACAGGAGCAGCTGGCCAACAGGGTTGATACTTGGAAGAATGCATCTTCCTTCCAACAACAGCTTGCACTTAAACTGGAACAGAATATTTATCACAAACACATTATTAGAATCAAAGAATACATAAAAATTATGTTATTGTAACAAGTCTCATCAACTTGAAGGGGAAAGTGACTAACAGCAGAATAAACATTCTACCCTAAAGAGGAATAAGACTGTTCACAGGTATGTTATTAATCTACTTCAGGATGAAAATGATAAGTATTGACTACACAGCAAGCAGGCCACCAGTTTATAAAATGATACAAGCTATTTTTACAGTACTTCCAGATAGCAACATATTTAAAAAATAATTCTCTATTACATTAGTGTAAACGACATCTGGCACTTTCGATAATCAGTCCTCTGCTGAAATATGAAGGATTACAGGATACAGGATATTGAACAGATCCTTCAATGGGACATAAATTCTAATTCTAACACATTGGCAGGGGGTGCAGCCTGTATTTTTCGTATCTAAGATGAAATTACTTGGTTTTGTTGTGGTGACTTCAGCAGCTCTATTAAAAATATTCTATTCAACCCCTAGGAACAAATATAATTCCTGTATTGACAGTAATGTAAGGAAGTTAAATGCAAAGCAGCTAAAATAAGTTTTTATATACAGGCTCTTATTCCAGCAACTGTATGTGACATATATATAGACAGTAATTTATCTCTTTTGTTACCAGTCCAGAAAGTTTTAACTGCCACATAGAAATATCTCAGAGCTAAGGGTACAACCAATCTGGTGCTTATGCTCATGCCAGAGAATTACCAGTTCTTAGTGCCCTTCTGAAAGTGCATGAATCCAAGTGAGGCAAAACCAACTTCCAGGAGCCCCTTCATATGACTTTAGACTTACTCTTTGGAACATAACCTCCTCTGAAAGTAGTCTCTCTTTAAAAAGCCTTGTTTCAAAATGGATGCTTCCAAAAAGAAAAAAACAAGACCAAACAAAGCCCCCAAACGCCACAGAGTGAAGTAATCAGAAGGAAACTCAACTGTTTCTCAGACTGGACTAAAAGAAAATAATTTAAAAAGAGCACAAGATGTTTATCAAGCTAAACTGATGGGAAAATCCACCCACTTTTGACATCTTTAGAACAGTCACAGTCTATGTTTGATATTCAGAGTAATCTGAATGACAAAGTTCCAATAAAACGTACACATTCTTCAAAGAAAGATTAAAGTTTAAAAGCTATTACTTAAGTAAATAAAGTGTCAGGACTTCAGAAAGTAGAACTCCAACCTGATAAACTAGTTGCAATTAATGGTATTTCTATAACAATCTAAGAATCTGTTTCTTTAAAGTCTGTCTCCAATATTTTACTCTTAATTAGTGATGACATATAAGACATTAAAGTAACTGAAGGTAAATAATTTAGTCTTTTCTGGAAGGTGTTGTTATGTTGAAAGACCTGATGGACTAAACAGCGCAGAAATGCGACATTTCAGATTTTGAACAAAGGGTTAGAAATGAGGGGTTTATATTCTATTAAAATATCATACACAGAGCAGTGAAAATTGCAGACACTGTCTGAGTTTCCTTCACTCATCTCTTTAACTCTGCTCATCTGACACCCAAATTTCAACACCTCTAACACTTCACATCATCATCAAGTTTGCAGATGTACCTATATCTGGAACTGTGTCTCCATCACTGAACACAAAACCAGAATGTAAGGGCCAAGAGGTTTTTAAATTTCTCACATGAACCAAACTGAACTTCTGGGAACTTTTTGATACAAGTTATTGGGCCCATCTGTTGGTATCTGCACACCCACTAGTTTTATAATCTGCCTTGACAGTGCAATACAATTCCTAATGAGTCTAGTTACAATCACTGCAGTTCCCTGATTACTTTCTATGCAAGAATTCTTAGGGTTGGAGTCGAACTTTTTATACAGTTTTAAGTACAAAATAATTTAAGTTTTGGTGGAGTTAGCTATATTCAAGTACTAGAGTGAATATGATGATTGTGTTCATTTCCACAACCCAGGGTAAATGTCAACTCCTGTTACGTACCTAACATAACAGGAGTTCATTTACTAGCTGCTTCTCAAACCTGCTTTCCAAGAAGTCTGTTTTGCAAGATATTAATGCAAGAAATCAAGACAATCTCAGCTGTTTTTGACAACAGGCGATTAAATGCTCAGGAAGTCATACGGACCTTTTGTTTTCAGTAGGCAGCATGTTTTTACTACAATATAGGATGCAGCTCAGTACCTGACTCAGAGCAAGACACTAATAGCTTATATATTAGACTAAATCCTTTTTGCTTCAAAATTTGATAGACTTTTACCTGTTTTAGTAGACAGAGCTATGATCTTTGCATTCAGTGTTAAGAATCAGCAAACTTTCAAACTTAGCATGACAAATATTGGCTGAACAGCTTGAATGCTCACAATTCTCAGTATCTTTCTAAATAAAGGGAATAATAATAATAATAATAATAATAATAAAAATTGGACTATTACGTAAAAACCAATGAGTATAAAGATCAAACTAATTTGCAAACATGAGACATCAAGAAATAGGAGGTTTAGTTTAAAACTAAATGTTTGAACTAAATGTTCATGTACTACTACATGTGTTAAAGAATTAATTGAAGAAAATAAAACAAATAGGAAGTGTTTTAGTAATTTTCTTTTGTGCATTCTTCAAATGGTAAGGGATCATTAAATAAAATAATAAATACAGAGAATATTAACATACCTTTCCTTACATATTCAGATGTTTCTTTTAAGGGAAATTAGGTTTCATTTTCCATGGTTAATGCAGGATTGCTCATACCTTAAAAGACAAAAAATAGTATTCCCACAGGAAAAGGTCTCAGGTCTATTTCAGCAAATAATACAACCTTGAATTAACAATAATTTTGGTGTCATTACTCTATTACCAAGTCCTAACCCATGTCTATTACATAACTTTTCACTAGCTCCTAATAGGTGTCACCTCTTTTATAAGAAATTTGTTGTCAAATCAGGCCTAGCTTAAAAAATAATTAGCACCTACTGGTATCAGTGTTCTGATATCCCTTGCTCAGGCTTAACTGGGAAAGGCACAACAGCTTGACACATGGAACTTCCTACATGTGTTTAAAAAAAAGCTTCATGAATTTTGGTTCACAAATACAAACCATGTGACTGTGACCATTGTTGCAATATATCCTCCAAAACTAGTTTATACAACACAAATCACTGCAGCATAAGTCAGCTCCTTACCAACTTTGCCCTTGTCAGCCTTTGCAGCAGTTTCTGGCCAAGATGGTGCATCTGTAAGTAGGTGGCTCTGGGAATCACGCAAAGGCTTTGCAGGAAACAGATGGTTCTCACTGTAGCACCAATAAAAAGAACATTAGTGAACTGAAGTAATTTTTCATCATCTTACCACACATTACAAACAGTCTGTCATACACAGTATTTTCCTTACCTCACCTTACTTCTTGTCTGATGAATCACTACCTTTTTATCATTACATACTGTAGTTGCCACAAGTGCAAGCACAATCTAAAAAGCACAAGGATTTTTAATTTGACAGCTATTTTATATTAATATCTGTACTTCAGCCCCAAATGCACTCTTACCTATATTCTTCTTCACTACAACAAACTTGACATGATAAATGGAGAGAACATCTCCAAAATCTCTTTCCTAATGTAAGCTACAGAATGCTGGGGTAAGATAAAACATCAGTAAACAGAAAGCTGAAATGTCATCTATTTCTTTTATAAATACAAGATTGTCTGTATGATTCCATTATAATTTTGTAGCCACATATTCACTACACTTATCAAATGTTTCAAAAAAGATGCAATATGAATTTATTTAGAGGAGAATATGCATACTTTTCACACTTAAAAGATGTAACGTCCATTAAGGGTAAGTAATAAAACAAGTTCTATTATCAGCAGAAACAACATTTATTATTCAGCTTCCTGTGCTTTGGCCCAAGTGCCATTAGGGATGATTCCCTTACATGAAGCAGCTTGAACCAGACAAGAAAAAGCAGGCATTCCCCAAAAGCCATGCAAGGCAATGGATTTGTATCACAGGCAATGTGACTAACCATCTCATATGTATGCATAAAGAATACTGCTGATACTGATTGTTAGGCAGGTGTGAAAAATTCAGGTCCTGGGATGTCACTGAACCAAGACAAAGCATCAGGAGAAAAGCCCACTCTGCCTCATTTCCATAAATTTCAATATACATGTGAGGATTACCTGATTTACAGCTTAACTATCAAAATATGACTTAGATTTATTAAAAGGATACTCTTAATTTGCTTACCACTTTTAAGGATATTATACATAATTTTGTTTATGTGTGCACAGGAAAAAAAAAAGATCAACTATTTGAAATGGGTAACAAAAGCAGATTACCTTTTGGAATTTGAATTAAGTCCACCAGGTGTGGAAGCTTGCTCAGGATCCTGATTAACAAGGCAAGTTGGAAAGGAGCAACCATCCCCTAAACTGAAAAATTCAGAATTAGTGTCCCACGTATAAAAAACTCTCAGCTTTGAAGACCATTTTTTATTTATTACTTTATCTTAGTACAAAAAAACATCCCCCAAATGCTCTGGATCCTGATCATTCAAAAGTTTAAACAAATTAAGCATTAGGAACAGCATACCTTGAAAACACAGGCAGCAACCAGTATTTCTTCTCATCACCAAACACCTGCCTTAGGTTTTTGCTGAAGCCCAGGCTAAAGCCATTCTTATCTGTTCTGTGACGAAATATGGGAGCTCTGAATACCTCTAAAAAGCAAAAGATTAATTAGACCTCTTTGCAGGCTAGCATGTTGGACTCTCCCACCAGTACTTAGGCAGTTGCACTGCCATTCACCCAAAAGGAAAGGCTGTACTGCCCAAATGGCTGAGACAGAGTGAGTGCACTCTTGGAAGCCAAAGTCAGTGCTACACCGGCGTTGTGCACGTGGAGAAAGTCCAATGGCTGAGGAAGGGTGGAAGTTTCTTTCACCCTCCTCCCTCATCATGGCAAGGAAGAGTGAGGAACTCAGTTTTTAAGAAGACATGATATGTTTGTTTATATGAAGATTTCAGTCTGCTACTACAGCACAGTGTTCAAGAAAGAAAAACTTAAACAAAGGGTTTATTACAGAAAAAGTAATGACAAAGGAGAAAAAGTTAACCTACTTTAGCAGTAAGACTAGCTTTTCACATGCACTGGAGTATGAAAATACTGTGTGTTTTTACCACTGCATAAAGAAATGTCTTTACTCATAGACCCAGATTATTCCCCCTGGCCATCCAACCTAAATTTCTGGAGAAGAGAGCTAAATATAGCTTCAAGTGTTGCAAAGTGCCTGAAGCAGAAAATTCATTCACTTTTCACCAAGTGACTGATAGCCATTTAATTCCCTTAATTGCCTATAAATAGCAGGCAAGCTCTGTCCTGATGTCCTGACAGTACAGGTCCCACAAACCATGTCAGACCCATGCTGAGACTGTCCTTCTCCAGTCAAACCTTAGCCAAGAACTGCTGGAAATGACCTTCCACATGCAGTGTACATGAATTACAATGGGTTTTAAAGAAGGGGGAAGGGAAAATGAGGGCATCTTTTAGATGCCCATATTAGGCTAGGAAAAGAACTCCCAGGATGATTTAAGCACAGTCACACTTAAAGCTAGCACGGCTTCATTACCAAATTACTGCATTTTTAAAGCTCCACATATTGAGCATTTTCCCAAAGTAAAATGGGAAGAGACGCCCAGATTTTTTTGAGTAAATTAAGTATGCAGGAAACATGTTATATTGCCAGTATGAGATTCCATTTGTTTTGAAAACATGAAATGTTGAATTAGAAGTGTAACACATTATGATTACCTCTGAAAATTTTTTTGCACTAAAATTATAATTATATCATAGATCAGTTTATAAAGAGAACACTAATTTATTTCCATTCAAATAAGCATCTTTAATAAAACTTTGCTCTACTTATACCTAGGTAGAAATTAATACCAGTAAACAATTGTTGAAAGTCAATGATTTGTTAGAATAATGAAGAAACTCAAAAATCTTAGAGGAAATCTTGAAGTAAACAAGCTTTCTTCCATTGATACAGATACCTATTTTCAAAGTTTTCCATTAATCACCAAAATCATCATTAATCACCATTAACAAATCCAAAATCAGGAAGAAACAGGTCAATTCACTGACCTACTTTAAATCAGCTTACGTCAACAGGAAAGCATTTAGAGATTTAGAAATTTTAATGACTATATTGCAAATTGGCATTATTACAGTCCAGCATGCAGTAGAGAACAGGTACTTAAATCTTCTGGACTTTATTTATTACATTTTGTGATCAGACACACAGGCATTCAAGCATTATATGTGCGAGCACACAGCAGCCCATCTAACATTTATTAGGAATTTATCTTGATTTTATTTACATTTTTTTTAGTTTATTCAATTTCTTTTAACAAACTGTGGGTGGAAAGCAGTGAGAGGAAGAGCGTTAAGTTTATTAATAAACTCGGTCCTTTGGGACAAGAAAGAAAGAGTCAAAATTTCCAGGGAGCAGAAGAACTTGGCAGTCTTCAAGCCAAGATCCAAGGAACTGGTATAGAATTTCCCACTTCCTCCATTACCCCCATTCATATGAGATATATTTATTATTCATTTTTTGTTGTCAAACACAGAAGCATTAAATCTACTTACCTAATGTAGATTTATTCTTGCTGACAAGCCAACAGTGATACCCAAAGAGAGAAGACAAACTGACAGAAAACATAGCTGCAGCAAAGAATAAAAACATGATGTGGAACTTGGCTTGAGTATCAGGAAGGCCATTCTGAAAATTAAAAAAAAAAAAGCCATTAGAACTGGGGAAATAGCTATTTAATTTGATTATTAATAATCCTCTATACAGCCAAATCAAATTCAGCACACAGACAAATACACCGCACAACAAGAATATCAACAAATGGATTATATACCTTCTATGTACAGTCAGCCATACAATTAGGTTAGTAACAGAATCTAAGTTAAAGAAATAGGCCCTTTCTTGGGAAACTATAAATACTGAGAGCAAGAGTCTGAAATTTAGATCTGAACTTTGAAGTGTCTTTTAGAGAATAATAATTTGAAAAAAAAAATGAAGGCTATGATTGTATATATAGGCTATTCTTTTGTACATGACATTGGGAGATACTAGCTTACAATGCAATGCCTTGGAATCACAGAATGCCTTGGCCTGGAAGGGACCTTAAAAAACATTTAGCTCCCAACACCCTGCCATGGACACGGGCACCTCCAGCTAGACCAGGTTGCTCAAAGCCCCGTCCAATTCAACCTGGAACACTTCCAGGAATGGGGAATTGATAACTTCTCGGGCAACCTGTCCCAGTGCCTCACCACCCTCACAGTGAAGAATTTCTTCCTAATACCTAATCAATATCTTCCCTCTTTCAGCTTAAAGCCATTTCTCCTTGTGCTATTACTACATGTCCTTGTAAAAATGTCCACCTTTACCTTTTCTGTAGGTCCCCTTAAAATCTTTGACTTTTTGCACAGCGGTAATTCCACACACTTAAAAGACAGTATGTAGATCAGAGTACTTACTGTCCAAAACTTGATAAAGTACTGCAAATCTGTTGCAGCAATGAAAAGGCAATACAGTAGTGAGTAAGCCAAGAAGAGAAGAAAAAATTTGTAATTGGAGAATCCTACACAGTTGTTCACCCTGATAAAAACAAACAAACACATAAGAAGGAAATGTCATGAAAGTTTTCTTTGCTTTCATCCAATTTAAATTAAACTTATGTGCTCTAGAAACATTTATATCAGCATGTAAACCAAGTTTTACTTCCTATCTCTGCTGCCTCAAGCTACTGGAATGGATTTAGCTTCAATTTGCAAATTAGTGTAGTAACCCAAATCAAAACACTACCACCACAAAAAAGCCCAAAGAACTTTACCAAGTAACACTGCTTTTAACAGCTTACTGAAATTATATTTTCAATTATGGTATGAAACTTTTTCTCAGGACATCTGATGTAAATGTGACTGCAGTTAGCTATTTTTTTTTAGTTTGCTGGTAAGTATCCATGTTACACCATTAGGCATACTGCATGTCAACTGGGACAGTAACAAGCCAGGAACTGAAACTGGACTGAATTTTGTGAGAATAACAGCAGTCTCATTTAATCCAGATCCTCCTTCATTAATCATACTAAATACTTAAAACTTCTCATACTATAAAATGTCTTAATAAGATACTCAAATGTAAGAACATTCATAGAAGATCCCTAAAAATATTTACATTTACATGAAATGAGAGAAATGCTACTCTGTAATAGAAAACATTCCACACCAGCGACAACATGACAGGGAATAAGACATTTGAAACACATCTAAATGTTAAAATAAATCTCATTTTATAACTTTCACTTATGGGCTTTAAGATGCCTGCCTCCCATTTGCAGATTTTTATACATGATAATGAGCAACTAGTACACATTATGATGATGAGGGTACATTTAGTACCATAGTAGCTTCCCATTAGAGACAACATATAAGTATTATGAATTTCAGAGCACTATTAAACATATAATGATATTACACCCACCAAATAAAAAAATATTGGCGTGCTCCCCATGGGCATTTTATTGGTAAACTGCTTCCTCTATCATTTGTTGCATTGAGGAACTAATCAAAATTATTTTTGTGCTAACCTTGACAGAACTCTTCGTATGAGCTTAAAGAAACCTAACTGATACTGCTGTCAAACTGATCAGGCAATTAAGATAAGACTACATTCACAAAGATACTTGTGTATTGATTAATAATTCTAAAAAAGGGAAAAAAAAAAAAAAAAGAAGGGAAAAAAAAAGAAGAAGGAAAAAAAAGTGTGGTGAGGCTCAACTTTAGCTTCCACAAGCACAGGACAAGTTACCACAACTGTTCTCTTCTTTAGGGAGATGGTGATGCTAAGGGACTCATGGCAGAAGGCATGCTAATCAGATAAGGGTAGAATCTTAAAATAGTGAAGAAATTTTCACTGTACCTTACTGTTACCCATTCTCAGGGTGGGTAGTGAGCTGGGTCAGTTTGTTCCAAGTTTTTTTTAGACAAAATATAACATGGCTAAACGTTAAATTCTGCATTTTCATTTAAACATGCAGCAATAGCTAAGCATTCATATTAACTACAGTTAAGCACTCAGAACAGATTGTTCTAATTAAAGAAAAAGAACATATTATTTGTAAGTTCATAATTATTCTTATCGAAAAGTAAATATAAAATTCTCCACAGTGAAGTGGGCTTTTTCATTAAACATGTCAAAGTAAGCAATTCCATGATAAACTGCAAGCAATTCAGGTTCAAGTGTTATATGATAATCCTACTTTCCTTTCATGATACTTATTTTTGAGCTGTTCTTACTTAAGACACTGTTTGATGTGAGAAAAGAAATATTAAGTGAAATGTCATTCCCCAAAGATGAAATTTCTTGAATCAAAGATAGATTTCTTTCAAACCATTGTTTTGCACAATGGTATGTGGTACACATGTCAAAACAAATTTGCATAAATTATTATGCTCCCTTCAAACTTAACAAGGCCCCAAACTGCAGAGGTCTTACTGGAAAAGAATAGTGCATCAGAAGATTGAAGAGAAGGTAAACACCAAGGTTTCATTATTGTCCTGTTTGAGCATGTAGCATCAAATCTTAAACCTCCAGAATGGTGGTTAGATTTGAAGTCTAACATTTCTGAGAAAGAGTAAAACTAATAAATATACCAACAACCAGCTAAATAATAGTATGTTATTGCAGCAAAACATTCATACAGTCAGAACAATCCAGAATAACAATTTGGATTACAGCTAACATTTTAAATGCTCCAATTTCAAAGGAATATATATAATTCCCATCTGAGGGGTTAGTTTACTGAAAATACCAGGCAAAGAAATAATTTACAAGGCACTGACAATTTAACAAAAGGCAACTCATTTAACAAAAAGCATCACAGAATCCAGGAGACGCTAACTATTTGGATCACTCAAAAGATAAAGGAGAGATGTTCTGAATTATTCCTAAGGCATTCCTAAATGCACCTACTTAGTACTAAGAGTGTTATATACAAACAGTATTTTTGGACATGCCTCCATTGGATTCCCACCTGCAGGTGCATCTGCATACAGTGAGTAGCACCAGCACTAGAAATCCCCTTTTAATCCCCTAAATGCATCACTTAAACCTTTCAGAGTAGTTAGTGGACAGTTAGCATTAAATATTTCTGTTTATAACAGCACTTCCATTAGTGCAGGAGTGACAGCCAAAATAAAGCCTTCCAGAGAGCAAAAGACAGATGACTTGGGGCTAGGACATAACAACCTCTCATTACCTCTGTCTTCCAAGAGCTTCATCTTACTTTCCATAGGTTATTTTTACCCATTCACTCTCCAGAAATCCTTCTCCTGACAGAGTATTAAACTAGAGAGATAGCTCTCATTGCTGTTTCCCTGCTCTCCCTAAGCATCACATGAGTTCTTTCCCCCTTCTTTCCTACCCAACTTGCTCCCACAAAAACATTGCAACATGAAAAGCAAAGCAGAACCTAATGATGTTCAGAGAGGTTAAAGTCAATCCATTATACTGAATTGCACCCTTACTTTTGTTGGCAAAATAGCCATATATCTCCCTAAGAACCTTTGAACATGGGTCTCTACAGGAAACTATAAAGCTTGATCAGCACCTCTGCAGTATTTCAAAACTCTTTCATCTCTTCCACATAGTTCTTTTTTTTAGTGAGCAAGGAACTGTGAACATCTGCTCAAATTAGGAAAAAACACACACCTCTTTTTCTAATGTATTTCTGCTACTAGGAGTACAAAAGGAACATCTCTCCATCAAGAAGCATTACACATCTTTCAATTACCTTCTCTATTTGTATTTTTTATTTTGTGCACCCATTGCTTATTAGATTAAAACCAATGAGCAGTGTAAATACTCTCTCAAACTGGGTATGTTTATGTTGTTAGATTAAGAAGAATGCAAACGTAGAGTAAGCAAATGCTACTGGAGAGGAAAACAGATTTTTTTCTAAAAGTTTCTGCCCTAGTGAAATAACACTTCACTGTCTTTTTACACAAAACCTAAGTATTATTTATGATTTGTTATTTGATATAATGGATTTTTATTTTGAAATTGAAGCTTACATGAAGAACATTTTAATGTAAATGTCTTAAGACATAAAAGCACAAAAAAATCTGGAAGAGACCATAAAGGTTATAAGAAGTCTTTGTAATACTGAATATTAATAGTCATATTGAGACTTTTCACTGATATTTTGTCACAAAGAGCCTGTCAACTTTTTACTGTTTTTCCTAGAGCTTTTGACAAGGCAGCTATTAAAAAGCTGAAAAAAGGAAGCCATCTTTTTTGTTCTAAGAAATTTGTTCCACATTCAATGGCTTTACCTGTTTGCTTTGTGGTGGCTTGTTTGTGTCTTTTTTTAAGAAGCACACTAGTATTACTGAACACTCTCAATTTTCACATGCTGATTAGCAAAAAAACTCTACCCTACACTATTTAATTGTATCTACCATGTAGATGTAAAATAAGAAGAAATGGTTAAAATCAAATTACATTATGGCAGATGCTGTAGTCAGGACCAAGAGAAACAGGGGGACTGAGCACCCCTTCCTGCCCCAGGACAGAGCCTCCTCTGTCCTAGAATTTGATGTAAAAGTGTCAAAACAACTGCTTAGAACCATCTACCATTCCGTTTGTCCAACACAAGGGATTCTTCTTTTCTGATCATTTTATATGGTGAAGAACTGCCATGTACCATTCAATTCCCTAAACTTGGACCTTACTAAGCAACTACCTTTAATTATTTCCATGAGACACACCTCCCAAACTGACATAAAACTAATTATACATCCTGTCTATCCACTGGGTCCAAGGGCTGCTAAAAGACAGGAGAACAAAACCACTGTGTGGGCTGACATAGCAGCAAAACAAGGGAGGCAGAGGGGAGAAAGAATCAAAGAAAACAAAGAACCCATAAAAACTGGAAGTGCTAACCTCATGTTTCCAGCAAGCCCCCTCCAACTGTCCCGGGAGCTTTGGTAAAAGGAACTAGGCAAAACCTTGCCCTTTAGTTTTAAACCTAGGGTAGCACTTCACCTTCCAATGCAACTAAGGCACAGTAGTATTCAAACTCAAAGAAAAGATGCAATTCTTAAAAGAAGTTCTCACTAATCAGAAGCCTACTTCATTAATACTTGTAAAAACTCAAAGGTACAAGAAAAATGAAATTCTTTCTGTATGTCACAACCAGGAAAAGAAGACATATAGAAACTCCAACAGTTCTGCAAGACCAGTAACCACACATACACATCTAACTCTAGGAACGCTGAAGCATCATCATCATGGCAGGCCCCACAAAAGTGTATTTTACCCAATCAGAACAGAAGAAAACCAGTAGTACACTCACCAAGGGCAGTGATGATCCATTTTCAAAATGCATCTTTTGAAAACCCCAGCAGAATTCCAAGCATTGACAAAAGACAACAAAAATATTGTCAGAAGCAAAGTAACATGCCAGATTTAAATTATTTACATACAGATTAAAGATTATCCATATTTACTATATGTTATGTAATCTGTTTAATAAATACATCTATTTAAAGCCAAATAATACAGTTTACCTACGAGGGAACTACAGAAATGGCAGATAAGCCAAACTGAAAACCTTTGATATATCAAGAACTCATGATTTAAGAAAATGCAATCTATAGGATTTGGTCAACTTTAGTATTCGGTCCTCAATCTGAATAGGATTTTCAACTATTGCTTATTTTCTGGCAGAGCCTTAGAAACTGGGCTAATTCAATTATTATGTAGTGATACAACTAAATGTATTTCCAACAACATGGTCTGTTTTTATAGAAATATATACATCTTTCTATGCAAATAGAAAAGGTTTTTAAGAGATTACCTTACATGAAAAACCCCAAACACTTTTGCCATTAATCACTCTCCGTTAACAAAGAAGAAAATCAGATATGTTCACAAGAAAATCAGATATGACTGAAATTACAAATTTTGGTATGGACAAAATAAAGGTATGTTAACTAATGGAATTCTGCAAATTTCACTCACATTTTGTGGATAACAAGTCACCTTTTTTCTTCACTAGAAACACACATGACTATGTTCCTATCTTACACTGCAAACACCATTCCATACAGCACAACCAAAATGCTCTTCCTGCCTCTGCTGCTTTCCTGGACAAAGCAATGTCTTCTCCACCTCACAATCGTGCTGTAATGTTTGATCAGCTGAAGAGTATTTGCAACTGCCTTAAAGCTAAGAATAAACCTCCCTTTGGAGAAATGTCTCCTCTCAAAGTTAGAAGTATAAAGCACTGGTGGGCCAGAGTGAAGAAACACAGACATCCAAGCTAACTGGAGAAGGGTCAGAGTGAACAGCTAAAAGAAAAAATTAAATTAGAAAGCAATCAGACTTCTGGAGAGTATGGATATGAACTTCCTTTTGTGCGAGACAAAGAAGAACTTAATTTTATGGCTTTAGATAGAAGTGGGAAAATGCTTGGCTGTTTCTTTCTTTAAACAAAAGTAACCTGCAAGTTATCCAGTAAAAAATAGGATATTAAGTGTATTACCTCAGGTAAGATGTAAGTGACATCATGATTAGATTGAGATGGGTAGTGATGCTTATTCAGATTCTAACAAAAGAAGTACATTTTTTTAATCAGCTATTTTTGGTTACATTTTTAAGGAAAATTCTTTATTAATATTTATAATTTTTAACCATTATGTAAAGAATACATAAGGGAGTCAAGAAATGAATTAGACTAGGCTACAGACTTCCTTAGAAATAAGTAAATGAAAACTAAATAAAAAAAATAAAAATAAAAAAAAAAAAAATCTAAGGGGGGGAAAAAAGTTTATCTGCCAAAATACTAACCCTGAAAAATCTACTCATAAAAAATAGAAGCTTCTGTGCTAAGAAAGAAAAATTGATTAATTCAAAAAATCACTTGTTTAAGGATATTCTTACTTGTCGCATACTGAACAGTGATGGCAACGATCTGGTTTTACAAGATGGCATCTGTCACAGTATCTGATTGCTAAAGAAAAAAGTTCACAGATTAGATGTCAATGTACAGTTACACATTTTGATTTCTGAAGTCTGTGCAAAAGGAAATACTATCAGCCACCTAGCAGAACCCCCAGGAAAGCATTTCAGCATGATCAGGAGCAGTTGGAAATAGTGAAGCATTCCTGCAATGCTGAATCTATCAGATTGAACCCAAAAAGCTCTGTTTTTGCCATCTCTGCTAACCATACTAATCTTTCTTTTCCCCCCAAGCCTTATAGCTCTAAAAAACAACCAACCAACAAAACCCACAAAACCCTCACTAGACTGGAAAACTGTTAAAGACTGTTCAACAATATAGCCATTTTAAGCTATTATTCTAACAGCTTTAATTTATTATGTGATAGTATCTCTTGGATTTGCTTAGCTAGCCAGCACTGAAAAACTGACAATATGAGTAGGGTTAGATTAACTGTTAGTTTGGAAGATCTTTTGTTCTTGCAACTGAATGACCAACAAGTAAAACAGTAACAGTTTCTTATTGTGATCTAGCTAGCTATACATGACATGCAGACAGTGATTGTGTTTTTATTATTTTTTTAACCTATTATAAAGGATATTTAAACAGTTAATGAATGCTACAGCCTCTTCTGCAGCTTGTTAGTATCAAAGTTATTTGGTAATATCAATTTGAAAACAAAAGCAAGGCATTGTCAATCCACTTTAAAATCCTAAATTGTATGCTGCAATTTACTTCCCAACAATCTCTATACACATTATGAATGTATCTGCACAAAACTAAATAAAAATTCCTGAACCACTCTATTATTTTATGAAATATGGAAAGCACTTCTTCCCTTCAATCCAAACCCATGAAAACTTTTTTTCAATTAGTTTAAGTAGTACATCAAGACACCTGCCTTTGTCAGTCTCCTGAACACCTATTTACCTCCAGACATTGTCCGTGTATAGATAGGAAGATCCTTGGCTGCTCGTCTTAAGACTTCTTGCTGGGATTCACCTCTAGGCTCCCTCTCTAGGGACTCCTTGTCTGAATAGGATAGATGAAACTGGAATAATTTTTAAAATCAAAGAAATATTAGAAAATTCCAAGTTAAACATGTAACTGTAGATGTCTAAAAACGAATAAATATTCATTATATAAACATGGATTAGCAACATGTACAGGGTATTACAGCAAATGACCCAACGTTCCCACGACAACTAATTCATTTTATGGCAGCTGAAGACAAAATTAAAACTACTTCTGATTTGGTATAGAGGCAATGCTGAATGGTTCCAGAAGTATTATGTAACATTCTTCAAGAGAAAGATCAAGAGCTTATGATTCCTTTAAAAGGTCAGTCAATTTATTCCTGTAATGCCAAATATTAACTAGCGAATATAATCTAGGGATGTCAGTGTTTAACTGAAAGAAAATACACTACTAGTAATAGCAGAAAAGACAGTTTTATTTCTCTTCTGGTGTCTGTCATTTTCCCTTTTATTCTTTGTCACTGCTATTCTCTTCATGCAGATGTTAGGATGTGTTTTTACTTTAGAGACTGGCTGAGAGAAGAAAGAGATGGGTCTTGTATGGCAAAATAACCATATCTTGAATACCTTCCTGAATAAAATGGCAGCTTCTGTCACTGCTCAAAACAATAACAAATGTGGCTATAGCAAGTGCTGAAAAGGTAAAAATTACTGAAAGAGATGCTTAGTACACATGAAATACTACAAATTTCTTAAACTTTGAAGTCCTCTGCAACACAGCAACATAGCTAGCTTTGTCACTGTAGCTTCTAGAAACAGGCAGAAGTCTTTGGTAACTCTATCAGAGAAAGACGATACAAAACCACCTTTGAAAAGAAGTCCTCATTTGGCAGGAAGAGCTGCCTCTATCCTGTGCCAGAAAAATAAGCCCTCTGCGCAGCATTTAGGTTTACAGGAAGGCTAGTCATTACAATAATATTGATTTTCCTTTCCTAAAAAAAAGTAATGCATGTAAAAATAAGAAAGCAAACAGAAACATGCAGTTAGGAGCCTATTCTCACTTCCATAGAGAAGGCACCACTCCACCCTTCCTGACAAAGCCCACAGACTTCCAGCTGAAGCTGGATATTCACTGTTTTAGTTGAGTTTCTCAGCTTACCATATTTTCCCCTTGCACGACCACACTTTTACCAACATCTGAGTTGATTTATATTGGGATACATAAGATTTCTCACTACAGAAACCTAGTTTAGAATACTTTTTAAAAAATGCTTATTTGATGTAAAAAAAGCTACTTTGCCATCTTTTTTTATTGTTCCTCAGAGTAGTCCTTCATCTAGAACCTTTGTGCCTGGGTACCCATTTTCACTCCCATCTTCATGCAGTGCTTGTATAAAGCTGGTACACACAAGTAAAGAATAGCACACACTAGAGGAAAATCTATCAAAACCTACTTTATATGTAAAAGTTTGAAATAAGCTTTAAAGAAAGCTGTGTGGTTTGCACCAGCTGCAGTATTAATGAAAACAAAATACAAAAGCTTGTTTTTCAGTCTTCAAATGAGTATTTGCTAGCTCAGTTCACTTGAAAATACATCTTTTTCTATTTGCAGACTTCATCCTATAAAATGGAAGCCAATCAGCAACTTAACATTACAAAATACCCTAATTAAATTTTTAAGATACTCTAGTAGAATAGGAAAATGCTCTAACAGAACATTTAAAATGCTCTAGTAGAATAGGAAAAAGACATGGAACAACAAAGATGTCACTTACTGCCAGCAACACTGTGTAAATTCAAATAAAATAGGAACACCACACATTACTTTCTATTACTCAACTACAATGCTTTTCCTACCCCGTTTGAAATTCTCCAGTAGCACTGTACGATGGATTTGGAACTGTACTACAATCAGCAGGATTTGTCAAAATGCTTTCATTGGCATCAGCCCAATGATTTGGAAACCCTTCTAATTATCAGTACAGTCACCATATACATGCATACATTTTGCTATGTAATTTCCAAATGAAACAGGTTTTTAATTTATTTTGCTCCTACCCACCCAGGATGTAGTAAAGACTGCACTGAACCCCAGTGAAGATGGCAATTTGAATTATCTACTTGCTTTCCCAATTACATATCCTACTAGTGAATGAAAACTATTTGGAAAAGAACCTCCACACAATAGACAACAGAAATCACAAGCTATTCATTTTAGGTTGACCTGGTACATAGAGCAGCTAGAGTTGAGTCCATGCCAAAGTATGTGTTTGCTTTGTGGGTATTTCAAACAATAGGACAACCATAGCATGATTCCTCCTGACCTCAGAGGCTGTGTGACACAGCACCTATTGAGGACTCAGGGGTTTCTGTACAAAGACAGCATGGAAGAGGCCAAAAAAATGTGTTAGCTATAAAAAGCTGCATGGGCAGAATTTCCACTGGGGCCATTGATGAAGAACCTTCCCAGACCCCTTTTTTCATGTGGCTGTTCTTTACTAGCTCCCTTCCTGCTCGGCCAGCTGTGGCTTCCTACCATGAGCTTACCTAATGTGCACTCCCACCACAATCCAAAAGCTCCTTCATACCAACACAAATGGGGAAGAAGTTTTAATTCAGAGCACAACAGACAGATGCTGACAAGAAGTATAACTCTTAAACACAGGGAAAGAAATTTCTGCCCATGTAAAAGTCTGATATTCCCAAGGCAAAGATTCAGGCTACTAGTTCATATATCTCATATTTTTCAAGTGGACAGGATTTTTTCTTCTACCATGAATATCTCATTTTAAAATATCTATTAAAAAATCAGAGAAATTGTTACTTTTTTTTTGTCTTGGTCCCTACACTGATTGCAATCTGACTCCTATTAAGAAGCTGTAACTACCATTTGTGTTTTTCTACAGAGTGTAAAACTACATGAGATCACAGACTAAGTCATTCAAAAACTACAAAATCAGACATTTGGCCAGGCTATTTCATAAACAAAAGTTATCTTACTTCTTTTGAAGGATTCATTGGTAGAGTAAAGATTGTTTTCCAGTATGACCAGACGAAGAGCATGAAAAATATGTGGTAAGCAACCAGGCACACAACTAAAATCAGAAGGAAACAGAATTAATACAAACAGACCAGTGATATTGTACTTACAAACAGTGCCTGTAGGCATCACAGACAGTTCTCTAACAGACGTAAATACGAGGCTCTGGAAAAAGCTTTGCCACAAAAATACTGCACTGCAACTTTACATCAGGCAAATGCAAACTGTGTAGGGAAGGTCATGATAGAGTCTACATAGATTACAGAAGTTTAAGGCAAATGGTTTATAGCCTATTAAAGACCCATCATTAATTAGCAAACAGTCTCCCTTACACATTTGTTAAACCCTCATTAACTGATGCATCTGTGCCTATTGGCTTTATAGATCTTGTAGGAGACTGCTAGCCATGCAAACCCCCACTCTGCCTCTGCCCAGCAAAAGCCCCAACCCCCCAAAGGATGTAAGGGGACAGTGACAAGTGTGAGGGAAGTCTTGGGGTGAATATGCACATGATACCTGAGCAGTAACCACATCCAGTTAACTTGTTTTACTAGATTTTAGGAGGGAGGAGTAACTTTTCCAAAGCGTCTGCCATAGGTTAATAGGTATTTCCACTTAAAAGCTCTCACCCTACTAAGTAATTCACTACAGTAAATAGCATATCATAAATCCATATCCCCTGATTAACTTACTCTAATAACAAGACAAGAGTATTTTTCCACAAATTCATATCCTCAAAAAGCATCACAATGGGAAACCTGAGCATTCACTTCATGATCTGAAATACTGCCCTTGTATGGCCAGCTCATGGAGTATTTTTATGTGTCATATTATTCAGGGCTAGAGAACTCTTTATAACACATGCATGATGGTGCATATAAATGCAAAATAGTGGTCTGGCATGCTCTTACTTTTTGCAATTTTGCCTTAAAAGTAACACTGAATAAATACTTTTGGTGTTGATGTTCATTTATTCAAATAGCAGTAACATTGTAAATATTTACTCTTATTTACTAAGCTGTTAAAAATAATAAACAAAAGCTAATAGAATCTGAGGAGCAACTCTGTACAAAGCTTTTGGGATGACAGGGGCAAAGTCATGTGCCATATCTATAAACTGAAAGAAAAACCTTATCAGTATAAATAAGTGATAGAACTGGACTCCACGCAAAGCAGAATACACTAAATGACCATTTTGTTATAGCATAAGTATGTGTACAGGAACAGTCCCCACTTTTATCAGAACATTTCTATTAATGCTAAAAAGAACCGATTTACTCAAATAAAATCAGTATTTTTTTAAACAACAGTATATTCATGGCATATAGTGAGAGCAAAGTAGGACACATTACCTCAGTTTGGTACATGATGCACTTACTGATCTGCATTAAGCATTTTATTATTGCAAAAAAAATAAAAGTAACTGACTGACAAGAAAATTGTTCGCATAGAAAAAAAAAAAAGCACCTAACACCTAAAGACTGGTGGCTGCTGAGTCCAACACAAGAACCTCATTTCACTTGAGACAGTTAAAGAAGAGCTGTCTGATGCTCCCTGGCAGAAACCTTTCTATTTTATATGTTTTCTGGAAAAAACCCCAAAATCAATGAACCAGGCAACCAACCAAAAAAAAAACCCAACTCAAACAAAACAAACCCCAACCCAAATGCTGCATCCCTTGCTTGCAGGCAACCAATTTACAGCGAGCTAGCACACCTAGAGTTGCCTGGCAATTGGGGGCAACCTATAGTACAGCTGAGCCCCATTTGCCCAGTTTTCACTCCTGAAAAATCTTAGAAGTATAGCCAGGGTAAGTTTCTTCTGACTGGCTGAAGCCCACCAAGGCCTTGAGTGAAAATAAGGAAATTTAATGTTGCCCAACCCATTTTGCTGATAATTTTAATATGTTTTGTGAGCAATGCCCATCAACTTACTTTCTTCCTCTCCCACAGCGTATGGAGCAGCAAGAAACTGAAATGCAAAGCCTGCAGATAACACTTCTACACTCATATGGGGGATGACATCACTGAACTAAAAAAAAGCTTTTCAAGCAAATGCTTCTTTATTGACAAACGTGTTTTCTAAGTGAGGGAGCTGCCAATAACTTAATGAAATCTGCTGGAATTACACAAACATAAAAAGCTCTTCCTCCAAAAGCTCTGCAGCTCTACAGTTTACACTTCCATGTTGTGCTGTAGTATTAAAATAGCATCTGGAGAAAACAATCTAAACATGGTACAGTGTCAGGGTAGGGACTGTAGTCATTGCTCACTAGGCAATATTATTATATTCTGACAAGGCCACATAAAGAAAAAGAAAATGCAGAAAAAAACTGCCTCCCATTTAAGTATGTTGCATCTGCACAAATACACTGCTCATCCCTAGAAATCCTGCTTTTACAAGAGTTTTTTGTATTATGAATACATTTTTTAAAACCAGAATGTAAGGATTGTTTCAGTTGACATATCAGAAAGCCAGTGAGAAGAGTAAAAAAATTCTAATTTTTCTCTTCTCTGTTTGTAATGGCTATAGCAATAGTCAGGAACAGCAAGATAATAAAAGGTGCTGAGGAACAAAAAAAGTACAAATCTATTTTTTTAAGTTAGACTGTTTCTCAATTCTAGTAGTCAACTACTGTTCTACTCTGATATATAAATTACATCTATAAACAGCTAATAAAAATCTTACCTTTTTCTCCGATATTTGTCATTGTCACTGAAAAAAATAAAAAAATAAAAATTTATGTTTCAAAAACAAGTTATATAATGCAGCATTTAAAGTTTTTTATTTCAGCCAAAGACAGAAGTGTAATCATCAAACAATACACGTTTAAGGTCACACACTATGAAGCTTTTATGCTGTGTACCTGTTCATGAGAATAGGTACACAATATCAATTGCTTATCAGGATTTTTGGCTCCTCTTCCCAGGTTCATTTCCTGATAACTAGGACTTCCATCTATCTGAAGCTGCCAAAGTTTAATCCAAGAAAAGCCATCTCTGAAGAGCAGTTATTTCTTCTAACTGTGTTTGCACAGGCTTCACTCTTTATGTTCTGCTCTTGAAGTGGAGGTATCAGACTCCAGAATTGGTTTTGACAGCAATATTTGGTGATACCTTAGATCTTCAAATGTGCATTTCCTTTAAGAAATTGCCCACGGATTACAAGACTTGGGAACAGTAAGAGAGTGAGAAAGGGCAAGCATGTCAGACATGGAAGGGAGCACACAGGTAACACATATCAGTAACTGCATTTTCCACTCTTTGTCACATTATTTAAAAGTAACCATTCCACAACAGGTATCTCAGAGAGATCAGAAACTCCCAAGATCAAAACCTCTTTTCACCCAAACCACTCCACCACACATTTATCCATCCTGGTTAAGCAGTCTACAAGCTGTGGTACACTGGTACCTACAACAGGACGGTAAATATACAGAGCTTTCATCCATTCTTGTCTTCCTAATAAAAATGATTGCACCAGACTGGTCTTCAAGCAGCAGGCACAAGGCAACTCCTATGGGAAAGCCAATGACCCATGCATCTGACTGATAGATTAAACTTAGGCTTGGTGACTGAGTTAAAGCCAGCATTTAAATACATCTTGCACATTGCAAGGGTGGACCGCGGCACCAGCGCTGCTCAACCCCTTAGCTAATGCTCTGGAAGAGTGAACACTTACAAGTTGGAAGATGACACCAACCTGGGGACAGCAGCTGGTACGTGCACAACTTCCATTCAGAGGGACCGTGACAGGCTGGGGGAATGAACCAATGGGGCCCTTATGAAATTCATGAGGGCAAAGACAGTCCTGCACCTGAGAAGAAGCAACTCCCTGCAACGACACAGACTGGGGATTGCTGTGCTGGAGCAGCTCCCTGGACCAAGCCATGGAGTTGCTGGTGGGCAGCAGAAAGGGCCAGCAGCCACATGGGTTACATCAGCGGGGGCACGGCTGGTCAGCCAAGGGAAGGGTTTCTCCCCTCTGGGCAGCATTCATCAGACCTCACCCAGAACACTGCGGGGTTTGGGCCCCCAAAACAACAGACACAAGTCCAGCAGGAAGTGATGAAGCTGGCAGGGACTCATCCTCTAAAGAGAGGCTGCACAGCCAGCGCTTGTCAGCCATGGAGAAGATGTGGTTTCGGGAGGGCCTCCCAGGAGGCACTGAGGAGCTGGGCTCTTCATACAGGCACAGAGTGAGATGACAAGAGCCAGCACATGTAAATTGAAATGAAAGGATCAGATTTGATACAAGGAAAAACATTTCCACCATGAGAACCATTCACCAGCAGAGGAAACTCTCCAGACACGTTGCACAGCTTCCACCCGTGAAGTTTTTCAAGACTCAAGCCAATAAAACCCTGAACAACCTGGTTTAACCTCACACCTAGCCCTGTTTTGATTAGGAGGTTGGACTAGATGAGCTGAGGTCATCTCAAACATGAATTATACCAAAATTCTGCAATTATAAAGTAGGTCTGTTAAAATTGAGATTGGACTATAGCTCCAGCAAAACAAACCTTACCTGAGGGAAACCAGTAAGCAACCGTGTTCATAAAGCTCCTCAAAAAAATAAAAAAAAAGACACCACAGAAGTTGCATAAACCACTATAAACTACATTCTGCCTTCAGTTTTCTGAACTCTTTAGAATTTGATAAGCCAAATATCCATCCAGACAACTGCTAGAGAGAAGCTGAAGGAACACGTATATACATTTGCCTCTGAGGAGCAGACATGCTCCTCTACAATAATGCACAAGAATTGTAAAATTGTAAGGAAACAGTCATCCACCAGATGATTGTTTACAAAACAAAAGACAGCTTCAGAGCTGACATGCAATTTAAAAGTGATGGAGTTCTCAGATTAAGAAAAATTAGCCACTATTCAAATTCCGATTTTCTTTCTCCATTTGGAACAGTCAGCAAAGTATGCAGAAATTTTGCCAGTCTTCTTGGAATAGCTACTCTCTGCTAATTAAAAAGTCACAGCCAAGCATACATTGCAGAATCACCAGTTTCAAAACAAAATCTACTTAACCAACCTTCGCAATAATTTGTGGTATTTTTCTCTCCTTACAAGGGAATGCCATAGAACACTGCTGTGAAAGTAACTGTAATCTTTCTCCTGCCCCTTATCTTCACATAAAATGTATTTACTAATGTGTCTGAGACATCTAAATTTTCCACAATGCCTCTAAGTAAAGGACAGACAAATCCAAATATAGCACTTTCCACCAGACAGCAAACCCAAAGCTTTTCCAAATTTCTGTCCACCTCCAGAAGGAAATGCACTCCTCAGAGTCTCCACCTGCACAGAGGATTGTCTTCTCAGCTTCTGCATTATCTAGCCTGGAATCCAAATGCTCCTGACAGTCAGGACCATGAAGGCTAAAACACAAGTGCCGAGATGTCCAGTTAACCCCATGAGGGTGAGAGCATGTTTTTGGGATTTGGGTTTTTTTAATATATGTATCTTGTCATGTTAATTTTTTAACCACCAAGTATAAATCCAATGTTATTTCATACACTCCTGAGCTGCAACCACTGTACGAGACCAAAGCACAGAAGAACCAGACTAAAAAAAGATGCCAGTACCTTCAATCTTACCATCATTTTTCTCCACACATATTGCAACTGGTGTTTACAAGGACACTAGCTGCACTACCCAACAAGTATTCCCACAGACAGTGACAGAAAGGAACTATGCAAGATATCCAATAACCTGCATGAAGTGAAATTCCAGTCCTTCTGCTTATGCTGTTTTAAATCACCTCTGACAAAGGCTCCCTGGAGGAGGTACAGTGTGTGGGAAAGTAATGAACAAGCATCTACAATACAACAGCACCAGAGAGGAAATGAAGGTGTGGGGTTTTTGTTGTTGTTGTTTTTTTTTTTCTGGTTGGTTGGGTTTTTTTTTGTTTGGTTGCTGGCTTTTTTGGGGGGGAGGGAGGGGGAGAGAGTGAGAAAACTTTTTGTTTTGTACCAGTGTGGCAGAACTGATGAATAGATTTAGGAGAAATTCTAAATTTGTTTGAATGACCATGATACAGAGACTCTTAGAGTAACTACAAGATGCCAACCCTAAGATTACACTAAAACTGTACTATTTAAGAGCATGGAAAATAATTTTCTAATATTAAAAAATCCTCTAATTTTGGATTTGATCAAATAAATGTTTGTTATTTTCCCTGCCTTCTGAATAGCACACAACACATTTATTTAAACCAGATTTTATATTTTTTACTAGAAACATTTGTATCAGTATTCCTGGCAATTTTTTCATGTCTGTTTCAAGGGGTTACCCTCACCGTGGTGAAAAGTAGGTCAGATTGTGCATTCTGTCATTAATAAAGATCAGCTGAAATGCTGCAAATGCATTTGCCGATAGTTAAACAGCACAGAAATAATATGGGTAAAAAGCATTTATGCCTATGATGACAAAAATAAACACAAAGGACATTGCAATCCCAACTGCTAAGAAATTTCTGTGAGAAAACAGGGTAAATCCCTTTGAGACCAAAATGGAATGATACTCTTGTATACTCAGAGATGGAAATAATTATAAAAACATGATCTGTCTTCAGGAAATCATTAAAAAGTTACAGCTTAGTTCGCCTGAGATACTGCAGGGGCCAATTTCATTCAGAATCACCCTTGCACTGCTAAAGCCTCAGGATGCTGTTTCCAGCTCAGTACCAGCAGACTGCCACATCACAGAACCGCTCTGGCTCTTGACGCAGCTCGCAGATGGTGCTCAGCACAACCAGGGACCGGGCTGCGACAGGCGCAGGACTTCAGCCAAGGCAGACGCCAACTTCCTGAGCCAGAAACATTGCTCCCTGCTTGCCCCAAGCAGCCAGGAACAGGAACAGCACATTCAACAGTCAATGCCACTAAGCAGCCTGCGCTCGCAGAGAACAATTGCAAAGATGACAGAATGCTGTGTTTCAAAAGATCTTAAAAAGTCCAGGATGGTTTCCATCACCAAATTGGTTTGCTGCTAGGAAGAGAAATCACATTACTAGGCACCTTGCACACTGGGTCAGACCAAGTGGATTTCCTACTTCTTTAATTTCTACTTTTCTCTAGAAATCTTAATTCTCACTCAACCATGTAAAAACTAGGTAGACATGCATCTCCACATAGCTAGAGACATGGTAAGACACATTGCTAGCACAAATCCCAAAAGATTTTCAAAGATTTCATATCAAAATGTGCATTAGCTATGTAATGTTACATTTTGCCTGACTTCTAAACCCAAAGTTTCTGAACTGTAAATGTATTGGCTAGATTTAAAAATAAGGAAAAAAATAAAAAAAGAAAATGGGAGAAAGCAATTAATTTTTTAAAGCAGTGATGAAAGTGGATATACAAAATTTTGCTATCATATTTTATGTACATTTTTAAAATATTTAAATCTTTGGAATGGGAAAACAAGATACATCTGATGCAGAGACTGCAGCCATCTATAAATAGCTGGTTCTCTCAAACTTTTATGAAGTTTAACATCTTGGATCTGATTCACAAAACTAAGTACACATTTTATCTTTATAGCATATTTGAAGCTGTAAAACACTGATCTATAGACACAGTTTGATTCAGCTCTGTGCACACATAAAAATGTTTTATAGTTGTGACAAGTGTTCTGTCATTGTCTGCAATAGTCCTTTAGTAAAAGTATCAGTGTTTGCAGTAAGAACCTACCTCTCTGCT